AAAAAAAACATTACGAAACAAGTATTGAAGATTTATATTCAAAATATACAAATATCAAAACTTAATTTTAAAAAATAGCATTGAATTTAAAAATGGATAAGCCAGATATGGTAGTTCAAGCCTATAATCCCAGCACTCAGGAAGCTGAAGCAAGAAGATTATGAGTTTAAGGCCAGCCTGGGCTACATAGTAAGACCTTGTCTGAAAAACAAAGCAAAAAACTTTTTAAAAATAAGAAGGGAATGGAGGAAGAGAAGAAAAAGAAAATATGAAAGAATTGACTAAATGCTTTACCAAAGAGAATACATGGATGACAAATCTCTGCTCAGTCAGTCCACAGCACAATAAGTCCTGTGAAGATGGCTCTCCAATTGCCCATGGGGTAACAGCCAATAAATTCATAAATGGAAAATGCTTGTAGCACACCTAACCTTCTGAGCCCTCCAGCTTGGTCCTATAACCACTGTAAAGTGCCAGTGCCTCTACTGCATGGCTGACTGGGAGCTGCCCACCCTCAACAGAGGGCTGAACTGCAGGAAAAATCCAGATGTATAATTCCAAGTACAGTTTCTATTGACTATGTATCATTTTGATACCATTATAATTCTGAGAAATCATAAATCATTTTAAGTTAGAGTCTAAACCTATTAATGGGAGAACAAACAGGGGTGGGACAGATAGCTCAGTGACTAAGGGCACTGGCAGCTCTTGCAGAGGACTCACACAGGGCTTCAATTCCCAACACCCATACAGGGACTAACCATCCGTAACTCCAGTTCTAGAGGATCTGATGCCCTCTTCTGGCCTCCTTGGACATTGCACACAGATATGTGCACTTAAATACATGTAAATTTTTTAAAATGTTTAAAATATCTGATAGCAAATGAAGTCAAACAATCCTGCAGCCATGCAGAGAATAGGAAGGGTACCGATCATAGCAAAGAATTCTAGCACATTCTGAGGCTATGGAAAGTGAACATAGAATCTCCTCTAATGAAACAACAGCTGACGAAGCCACAGAGAACAGGGCAGGAACAGAAGAAACAGTCACAGTGATCAAAGTGCGCTGTAGGCATGTATGGAAATACAATAATGAAACTTTCTGAATAATCAATATGCACTAAAAATTTTTTAATTATTTAATAACCATATAATTAGAAGAAGCATTTCATGACAACAACATTGACATATTCAATAACAATTTCCAGAGCTAAGATGCATCTGTTTCAAGATTGGCTGTAAATGTTTAGGTTCACAGTTGAATTAATACAGTTATACAATATTCTGCTCAGTATAAACCTTTTCAGACATGAAATTAAATGAGGTTTTAACCCTTAAAAAAAGATCTCCAATTCATTAGTAAACCACACAGTTTCATACAGAAAAATTCATTTTTAATGCAATTGACACTACGATGTTTGCACATGCGTTTCTAATCTCTATATATCTGATTTCTGATTATTTTATAGAGGTAGTATATAGACTAGTCCCAGTCTTTGACTCTCCTTACAAAGTCACTAATGTCTCCACTCTCATGGCGTCATATAATCATAGTCAGCTCTCAAAGGCCCACCTTCGAATATTATTAACATACAAATTTGGGCATTAAATTTTCAACACAAGATTTTGGGGGAAACACATTGAAACCAGGAACATGACAAGAAGGAAGCAAACCCGCTGATACAGATTTCTAGTGCCAGGCCTGCCTTTCTCAACATTTTTACTCCTTTCAGGGTCATTGGTCGCAGGAGGTAGAGTTATGAATGGCAGGAAGCTGGGGTGTGTAGGGGCTGGGCTGCCCTTAGGGGAAGCTCTTTAATGTCCGTGGCTATAAAATTTCTAGGTTCACTATTGAATCAATACATTTATACAATATTGAGCTCAGTATAAGCCTTGTAAGACAAAAAAAAAAATTGAATGAGATTTTTAACCCTCAAAAGAGATCTCCATTTCATTCTAAAATATACTGTTTCTTACAGAAAGACTCATTGTTTTTGCTACTAGATCTTGGCGCATGCGTCTCTAATCTGTATGTATCTGATTATTACTAGTCATGGTCGGTTGCACTAGGATCCTTGGCACCTGTGTATGTCTATAAAGTCATCAGGTAGATTTCAATGGTAATGTTCATCACCTCTACTAATTAATATCATGTAAACTTTTATGCTTCCTCCTCATAATACATTTTTGTTAATTTGTTGATTTTTTTTTCTGTGTGTGTATATCACACAGAACATTCCAAGCCATCTTATTCAACTATACACCCACTTCCCAGATGGCACCCTCCCATAGCCTCCCTCCCCCCACTAGAGCCCTTATACTCTGTTATCCCTGCTACTGTCCGCTGTGATGTCACCCCCAGCTGTTCCCCACTACTTGTCCATCTGGTGAATCTAGTCAGCCTACCTAGAGGTCTTTATTTT